GAAAATGGTGGGGTCAGGGTTACCAATGGTACCGAATCGCTATTTGGCAGTCACGTGATGAGGGATGTGAAGAAAACGGTAGAATTCGTTTATATTTTGGTAAAATGGGCGAGGAGGTGCATCAATGTTGGGAAAGGATCCTATCTGATTGGTGAGAAAAACCATTTTGGAGGCAACCAAAGGTCAACAGTAGTGAAGAAGAGCGACTTTGGTAATAGCAAAGGAGGGGAGACAAAGAATAAGAAGATGAGGGCAATTTAGTAATAGCACCCTCTACATCTATGTCGAAACCCAACAGTCCCTACCAGTGTTATTTTAAGGTAAGAATCTAGAATATGTAAACCGTGGTATCAACTTGTAACACCCCTTGGGTACATAGCTTTACTTATGCCCTTATACCCTTAGTTAATTTTATTATAGTTATCTTAACAAGTATGAAGAAATCCTTAAATTGTCATTAGGGGTAAAATGGTCTTTTCACTCATAATAGTTAAACATGTGAAGTGTGAAAAGAGATAGAATTTCATGGAAATGCAATAAAAATGAGCGCATTATGGTAATTGATTAAGGGACATAGATGGAATTCATAGAAAGTGCAAGGGTAAATGGGAACTATAATTATTATGTTATATCAAGTGGAAGAATGAAACCCTAGCCATTCTTCCTCCCTTTCACCCACCTTCATCCTCAATTCTCTCAATTTCTTGAATTCTTTTTCAAGGGAATTCATAGATTTTGGGTTATTTTAGTGGAATTTCAATCTCACATCCTAAGGTAAGATCCTTTCACTAAGAAGTGAGTTTTATTTTAAAGTGTTGAATTCTTATGATTTGTGTTTATAGGATTTAAGAGAAAGAGAGTTGATCAAAGACTACTAAAGTGTTGGATTGCTCACATCTAAGGTAAGTAAATCCACCCCTAGTTATGATGGAGTATAATTGTGAAGAATTTCTTTTATGCATGTGTGTGTTTATATTGAAGAATTTTGATGAATGGATGTTGAATGATGGTTAGATTTACCATGAGAAGTAGTGTTTGTGATGTTTGATGAGAGTTTGGATGAATATGGAAGAATTGAGTAGAATTTATGGAGTGGTGTATCCTGGACAGGTTTGATGTTATTCTTGGTGGGTTTTGTTCCAAATTTTGATGGCTTAGAAGAGAGGTAGAAGTGTAGCCAATTAGAGTTGATGTGTGCATAGTGTTGATGAAATGTCAAAGAGAATGCATACATGATTATGGTTACTTGATCTTGAGATGAGTTTGTAGATGTAGAGAATGACAGGTTTACACTTCATATGCTTATTGCATCCTACCTGTGCATTTAGAAATAATATAAGCATGAGCCACTACTATGCATACATACTCATAAGAGCATTAAAGAGCATTAAAGAATATTAAGAACAAGAGAGAGAGAAATAATTTCTATAATTCAAATCTGAAATTTTAGTTAAAGTGTAAAGATAAAAATATAAAAAAAGGAAAGTTGTTGCGATGGGAACCCGTGAGTGACATAGCCCCGCATGCACGACCGCCTTTATGAGCGGCCTCAGAATTCATAAAGAAGAATTGTACAGTCCGTTCGAATGCATGTTGGATGAAACTGTACCACCAGAATTAGGATACACTTACACGGCCAGTTCCAATCATGCATCCAACCGAGTCCATGACAAGAAAGAATAGAAAGAAAACCAAAAATAGAAAAAGAAAATACAGAAACAAACAACAAAACAATAAAAAATAAAAAGAAAATGCAACATTCTAGTGCATTTGTCATTTGCATCATACCTTGCATGATACCATGCCTTTAGCATGGTAGTGAGAAATTAAAATAGAAAAGAATCGAAAAGGAATACAGAAAGAACAAAGAAGAATAGAAAAGTGTGATGTAAGAAAGAATTCACATTTAAGCAACGGAGAGAGAAGGGTAGCATAACGATTTACTTACTGAGCAATTAGTGATCACCGTTGTTTTTAATGTTTTTTGCAGTATAGGTGAGACACGTCCCATGAGAACGAAGTGAAGGATTTAGCGACACTGTGAAGTTACTATTTTGAGACCTTATTATATTTTAAAGATTTGTACTAAAGAAAATTAGATATGCGCCCATTATTTTTATACTCATCTACATATAATTTTCCTTATATTATGTTAGTGATTTTTACTGTTATTTCTACGAGTATACTAGCTAGAGAAAATATACACACTTGTCCATTTCGCTAAACCTCGTGGGACCATGTCGTTTACTCTTTTAAACCCCATTCTCACCGTCACATTGAGGTCCCTTGACGTCTACATTGTAATCTTTCTCGTTTCATTCTCCTTAGATAGTTCATCTCTTTCCTGTTCTTTTTGTCTTTCTGCATCAAACCATCGTCTCATGTACCTAACCCAAATATCCATTGCCATGGCCCATGTCCACTTCTTCTATTTTCGAATTTCTAGTCTCAATAATGGCGATCTATAGGATTACTAAGATACGTTTACCTTTTTAATTGAAACGGGAGTGATGAGGATTTCGTTCTTTATTTCTTTGTGTTACGTATTGAACTCCAGTAGGAATGAGAATCTCATGCAGTGCCTCTAAAAGCATCAGTAAATGATTCCTTAAAATTACTTTTTTTACCCTATTATTGAATTTAATATTTGTATTTTTCTTCTTCTAAAAAAAAAAATTGTTTCCATGTTTTATTTTATAATTTAACACTCTTATTATAAATTTCATAAATGCGGACTTTTTTATCCACAATGTCATTCTGTTGACCGTCTTGCTATCTTTGCCCGACATTAACAACCTTTGATTGTCAGTGACCCGTGTTGACCACCATTGGTAACCCCCAAATTTGGATTTTTTGAGTTAGATGATTTATTGTTAAAGTAAGAATAAAAAAATAAGAAATTAAAATCTCTAATATTAAATCAGTATAATTAATGTATATATAGAAGTATTTCTTGTCTAAATATTAAGCTTTACCATTTGTTCTACATTTATACATTTTTACTAGTCTACTATTCGCTTTCTTCTATTTTTCCTTTTCTTTTTCAATAGAATTCCCCACCAGGTACATGCATATCATTATACCGCCAATACAATAGGAATCTTAATATAGCTTCAGAATTTTCATCCCAGTGAAATGATAAGGAAGTGTAAACGTCAAGATTTTGATATAAAAGAATTGCTGAACCCTCAGCAAAATGCTCATGGTACTTGTGTGAATGTAGATTTAATTAATAGGGGTCAAAGAAAATAATGAGTTCAAGGATGACACTTAATATAACATAAATTAAAAAGTTTTGTGGGTAATCCCCGCTGCCTGCACTTAGCATATGTTACCAGTTCGGCATACCTAGAGATTCAGATTCTTTTTCCTGGTTCATAAAGTTTCTCTTCTCGTGTTTCAGCGTTAACCATGGATCCATCTCGTCCACTGGTGGCGATCACTTCTCACCTCAGCCTCATACGAGCTACCCCATCAAACCTCTTACTCTACCGAGGAAACCAGGACACCGTGGCTATCTAGAGCCACGCATTGACCTCCGCAACGTTCAAGTCGAAAACCATGACTTGGATATGGTTAAGATTGGTTTGTGCTTGGATGCTTAACCTTGTCAAAATGGTCAGCATCATGACACAACAAAGATAATCTGACATGATAGAATGATGTCTGAACCCCTTATTCAACAATGAATGGAGCCAACTACTGTAGCGTTCTGATTGTTACTTATAAACTACTATCAGGCACACTCAAAATAAAAGAATATTAAACAAGCTTCAATTACTCACAATTCTAACAAGTAAAAGATTTTTTTTTTTTTTTTATCCTACTCCTCTCCAAGTTCATGGAGTGCCTTGTCTCCATTCCCGGAAGCTCTAGTGCCCCGGTGTTTGTTGTGAAGAAGGCATAAGGCTAGTAGATCGTGCTTTAGTATGCTCATTGTCACCACAAATTTGGTCCACATCATCAAATTTCCAGTCTCCTCACGTAATCCGGGCTTTGAACTTATGGCTCACTTCATGTCCTCACACAGCATTGCAACCACACTTGACATCGATGGCCTCTAGCGAGGCAATGTCTGAGTAACACAGAAGAGCTACTCCTATCAGGCGTTTCACTTCCTTCCTCGCTGTATTGTGAATTTGGAGTCTACTATTCTAGTTCGCGATTGGTTCTCAGTAGGTACCCAAGCCTGAGAAGCAAAAAGTTTATTGAATCATTATACAGACAGAATTGCATGAAGAAGACATGCATGCATATCAATCCTACACTAGGTTTGTCTATTGCATCTTTAGTTCCTCAACGCATTAAATAACGTTCATCTTCAGGATAAAAATTAAGGCTAGAAACCATTTAAAGAGATCCATAAAGAAGAGATTGATATGAATTAGAGACGAATGCTGTTCATATCCCATTCAGAAATACATCTTCTCTTCGTCCAGCTTGAATCTGAGTTTGGGCCGTCCAACTAACAACCTCTAGAGCCCACGCCAAAGAAAATGACATCAGTCTTCCTTGTCAGATGTCCACGCCATGGCATACTCCCGGCAAGATATCCCACTATATCAACATTAAGAGACAACTTATTCATTTTAGTATCCCTTATGTAAAACATTAGATTCAATAATTATCGAGGGTAAACATTCTGAATCCTGAGAAGTCTTACCTTAGCCCGCGCACATTTCGGGTGCCTTATGTGTGTCTCTTCTTATCATCATAAGTTTGCCAACCAAAAATCTGATATTTTAGGACGAGTACCATCAGCCGAGATATTACTGGCCTTCACATCTCTGGTATGATCCGAACCTTGACTTCCTCATGAAGATAGCATAAACCTCTTGCTACTACTCCAAACAATATCATAACGGCTCGGCCAGTCAACATTCAGCTCTCCTTTCCTGCTTAACAAAAACCATCTTAAAATTTGAACTATGATTTTCCATGCCAAACACACCGGGAACCTTAAGTGAAAGAAAAACAATAGTTGAATAAAACGATCATTCTCATACTCCAATATTTCGTAATGCTTGATCAAGACTGTTGTTTTCTAGATATTCATAAATAAGGATCCGTTGTGCACCCTCATAACAGCATCCATACAGTTTTACTAGGTTCCGATGCTGCACGGCAGATATAGTAGCAATTTCTGCAACAAACTCACTCTTCCCCTGGTGGGATGCTACAGATAATTGCTTCACAGCAATTACTCTTCCATCATTGAGTTTTCCCTGAGTAAAAAGTTCAAGTTGAATTGGTGAGAAAAGATAATGTTTCAAGTTGAATCTAAGAAAAAGAATGATGATGCAATTTGGGTTTGATTATGGCTGGCTATGACGGTAAATATGTAAAAGCAGGGCCACTAAATCAAATAGTCAATCTTAAGGCACAGAAATGTTGTCAGCAATTGTCTAAGATCAATTGGAACAATGACTTCACCTTATAAACGGGTCCAAATCCTCCCTCTCCAAGCTTATTTGTAGGACTGAAGTCATCAGTAGCAGTCCTTAGATCAGCATAACTGAAAGTGTATGGTTTCACATCCATCCCAAAAAGCTCTGAAAATTCAACAACAAACATAGTTTACCATTATGAACCTTCTCATCTAATCAAATAAACATAATACTACACATATAATATTTTTATACAATATTTCTCATACAACATGAGGTGGCAAAAGATGATTTAATTGATTTTAAATTAAAAATAAACTTTTACTGAATTATCTTTTGCCACAGCATGATGTATAAGAAATTTTATATGTGCAGTATATTCATCAACTAATTAACTTACTAAAACACTGCCTCTGCTTTACTGTGCAAAAGCATTAGTAAAATCTTTTGCTTTACCTTCATCATCAGTCTGCAACCTTTTTCTTCTTATGACAGTGAAGAAAACTGCAAGAACTAACAGAAATACAACCCCGACGCCAACAACAATCCCAACAATTAGGCCTGTTCTGTTCTTCTCAATGGTTGGGGCTCTTACAGTAGGGGGGAAATCTGTATCAAAACTTAGTAGTTAACTCAATATCAAAACCATAAGGAAACCAACCAAACAGATAAAGGAAATTTGCTATATATTTTACCTGAGGTTGTGCTGATGGCCGAAATCAAAGGTCCATATGAACCTTGGCTAGGAACACAACAAGTCCCTTTACCAGCCCAAAAGAAATGGATTTCCAAGTNCATGGAACGTCAAGAAGTGGAAGGATTTAGCGACACTGTGAAGTTACTATTTTGAGACCTTATTATATTATGTAAAGATTTGTATATAAAGAAAAATTAGATATGGGCCCATTATTTTATACTCATCTACATATATATTTTCTTATATATATTTAGTGAGTTTTACTGTTATTTTACGAGTATACTAGCTAGAGAGAAAATATTACACAACTTGTCATTTCGCTAAACCTCGGGTGGGACCATGTCGTTTACTCTTAAATTAATCACCCACATTGATGTGTCTTACATCACAGAATTCTTTTTCTTCGTTTCATTCTTTATTAATTCGTTTCTGCATCAAACCATTCTCATGATAAACAAAATACTGCCATGCATGTCACACGATATTCTGAATTTCTAGTCTCAAATTAAATGGCATTCCATTAGGGATTACTATAGATACGTTTACCTTTTTAAATTGAAAGGGAGTGGAATTGAGATTCTTAATTTCTTTGTTTACGTATTGAAATCCAGTAAGGAATGAGAATCTCATGCAGTGCTCTAAAAGCATTAGTAAATGATTCCTTAAAATTACTTTTTTACCCTATTTTGAATTTTAATTTTGTATTTTTTCTTTTAAAAAAAAAAAATTGTTTCAATGTTATTTATTTTATAATTTAACTCTTATTAATATAAATATTCATAAATGCGGACATTTTTTTATCAACAAATGATCATTGTTGACCGTCTTGACTATCTTTGACCGACATTAACAACCTTTGATTGGTCAGTGACCCGTGTTGACCACCATTGAGTAACCCACAAATTTTGATTTTTTGAGTTAGAATATTTATTGTTAAAGTAAGAAAAAAAAATAAAGAAATTAAAAATATAATATTAAATTTTTATAATTAATGTATATATAGAATTAGTTTTTTATTTGCAAATATAATCATAGTTTTTAAATTAAATAGAATATTTTAATATTGAAGGTATTTTTGTCTAAATATTAAACATTTCATTTCATTCTTTTAATATAAGTAAACAATATAACCATAATCTATTCCATTATTTATTCACTATTCGAATCACTTTCGTTTTCCATTTTCCTTTCTCTTTCAATAGAATTCCAACAGGTAAACATGGCATATATATCATACCGCAATAACAATAGGAATCTTAATATAGCTTAAGAATTTCATCCCAGTGAAAATATAGATAAAGGAAGTGTAAACGTCAAGATTTTGATAAAAAGAATGCTGAACCATCAAGCAGAAAATGCTTCATGGTACTTGGTGATGAATGTAAGATTTTAATTAAGAGGGGGTCAAAGAAAATAATGAAGTTCAAAGGATGACACTTATATATGTATACATAAATTTTAAAAAGTTTTGTGGGTAGATCCACCGCTGCACTTAAGCATATGTTAAGTCGAGCAGACCGATTGAGATTCAGAATTCTTTTTCCTGGTTCATAAAAGTTGTCTTCTTCTCGGTTCAGCGTTAACCATGGATACCATCATCGTCACTGTGGCGATCACTTTCTACTCAGCCACTCTACAGAGTACACCATCAAACCTCTTACTCATACAGAGGAAACCAGGACAACATGGCTAATCAAAGCTCACGAATTGACCTCCGGCAAAGTTCAAGTCGAAAACCAATGACATTAGGATATGGTTAAGATTGGTTTTGTGCTTGAGATGCATTAACCTTTTCAAAATTTTCAGCATCATGAACAACAAAGAGAATCAATGACATGATGAAGATGAATGTCTGAACCCTCATTATTCAACAATGAATGGAGCCAACTACTGTAGCGTTCTGATTGTGTACTTATAAAAACTACTATAGGCACACTCAAAAATAAAAGAATATTAAACAAGCTTCAATTACTCACAATTCTAACAAGTAAAAGATTTTTTTTTTTTTTTATCTACCCTCTCCAATAATGTCATGGAGAAGGCCTTTAGTTCCATTCCCTGGAGAAGCTTTAGCCCCGGTGTTTGTTGAAGAAGAAGCATAATGGCTAGTAGAATCGCTTGCTTTAGTTGCATTGTCACCAGCAAATGTGGTCACATCATCAAATTTCCAGTCATTCAAGTATCCTGGCTTTGAACTTAATGGGCTCACTTCAATGTCTCCACACAGCATTGCAACCACACGTGACATCGATGGCCTTAGCGAGGGCAATGTCTGAGTACACAGAAGAGCTACTCCTATCAGGCGTTTCACTTCTTCCTCGCTGTATTGTGATAATTTGGAGTCTACTAATTCTAGGTCGCGATTGTTCTCATNAGTTGAAATCTTAATTAAGTACAAAATTGTATTTGATCGATGATGGTATCATTAATATAAGAGGGTACATTGCATTGAGCACATCCAAATTGCATTAGTTTAAAATTTACCCACATTAGTGGCTCTCCCTAGTGGCCAAGGGTCTCTGTATAACAATTAAATCAAATTTAGAGTAAACGACTATGGGCGTAAAAAATCACCCGGGGCCTTATCAAGCCCAAACAAGCATGTTCCACCACAACGGTCCAAGCTTATGATCCAATTTCGGTTAGGCCAGTATCAGAATTCATAACGTGGGCCGAGACATGTGCCCCAAATCCAACCTTCCTCTAGAATGGGCAACACCAGCAGCCCACCTAAGGTCAGACCTTCCAAACCAAGGTAAGTTGGACTCTTCCTATTTGGGTCTATCATAATTCGCCTAAGATTCCTTGTCTTAGGTAAATTAGGACTCTTGTTACTAATAAGTCAAGTGAATCAGGATCTTTCCTATTCACTAGACCTCTTCCCTTATGGATTCAAAGTCCTATCAGGATATGAAAATCCTACAAGTACTATATAAACAAAGGTCACTCCTTTGTTTAGGCATTGAGCCTCAACAACTACTACGTCATGGTTCTAGTCTCCGACTTGACCCCTGGTAACCATTCCTTCCCTTACCCTCACTAAAATGTCTCATTCAGCCTTACTGACTTGAGCATTAGAGTGCCTACAACAGACACCACACTGGTGTTCAAGTAAGCTCCACACTTGTTTGCTTTGTGTACAGGTACAGCGGATTACCAATGGACTCAACCTTACGGGATCTGACCATATTTCCGCAACCGTAGATTTTAGCATTTATAGTTTGATGCCCAACGTGGGGCCTCTGACAATCAATTTTCGCTCAAACTACTGCGCTATAAATCACGCTATGGCTGAAAACATAGACACTACCTCAGCAAACATCGCAGCTAAGGTCGAGGCTCTCTCGGCACTAAGTCACAACGTTGGAAGCCGAGAACAATAACATCCAGGTCAAGAATCAAAGCCTACGAGAGAAGGTAAATCGGTTCTATTCTCTTAACTTCCCATTCAATCAAATATCGGAGAATCGCTTCTGCATCCTGGTAAACCCCATACAACCATTAATGACCCCAAATCCTAGATCCTCGGTCTTAAACCCACAATCTTCCCAGCTCTAGTCATCCAGAACGGATGGACTAGCACCTACTNAAAACGCGCCTTCCAAGGCTCTTCCATCCTGTGGAATCTAAATTAGCTATTTCTGCAAAATGGAGGGTGACAGTGTAGTTTCCATTTTCAAGGCCTAAACCATAATATCTTAGAGATGAAGCAGAGATCCGGGCTGTCTGGAAAATCTCTGAATCTAGGGTATTTATGAATTGAGACTGAGAAAATATTTTATACTGCGGATTACTGCTCCCGGTAAAATATCCAACATTACTAACTCCCCATCTGTCTGTGTCAGGCACATAATATGTAGCTGGACCAAGAGTCTCGTTATCCCTCTCATACACAATATCATTGGAAGATTTAATTTGTGGACCGCCACTCTTCACAGCGAAGCTAGAATCTGCATATCAGTGTAGCCAAAATAGATCATTTCCTTCCCTTCTCTATTGGACTCGGTTACTTTGAATGCGTTTAACTTTCTAAACCACAAAATGGGGAAGTAATACTTACAGATTGGAGAACCTCGATTGCAAGGAAAATTGCGTTGGAGACAGTTCAGGCCATATGGCAAAACACTGAGCGAAGAAGAGAAACACACTTTTATGAGGAGATTGAGACAGAAAGAAGGAGCAGGTATACATTTCAGATTGTTATAGAGAGTTTCAAGCATTTAAATTAAACAAATAAACCAGATAATCACCTGCTGTTAGAGCTTTCTAGTGTGAAATTGTTGGCAACCAAGTTACTGCAAATTGCACCAATAAAATCTGAATGTTAGTTTCATCATAGTTTAACAAAAGAAAGGTTTCAATGAATTGAATTTAAAGACTTACAGTTGTAAATTTTCTTCCTTGATCCAAGAAGGAAAGCTGCCTAATAAATTATTATATGATACATCTCTGAAAGCATAAGGCGAGGAGAAGGTTAGCTACACTATACAACTGCTTATAAGTATGAAATTCAGGCATTGAACTAGTCACATTGATTTTTTACTATAAGCTTTCTGTTCAATAGACTTCTACTGGAAATTGGATTTCCTTAAAAACTTGTGCTGTTACTCTTAAAATTGCTGATATATTAACCAGTGGAGCATTCCATTCCGGTATGTTGTAAAACGATTGATGCTAATATGTCAAAAGTACTTACATATTGAGAAGAGTTGCGTTTTTTTCTGCAGGCAGAGTACCATTTAATTTATTGTTTCCAAGAAATCTGAGTACAAATCCAGAAATAAATGTTTCAATATGAGTACATTTTGGGAGACAAATGATTGTATGATACAACAAAGAAGAGAATATGGCAGATTACAGGTGAGTCAGCGAACTCAAATTGAAAAGCGGGCTGGGAATTTGTCCACTTATATTGTTGAAACTCAGATCCCTGAANGAGTTGAATTTAAAGACTTACAGTTGTAAATTTTCTTCGTTGATCCAAGAAGGAAAGCTGCCTAATAAATTATTATATGATGCATCTCTGAAAGCATAAGGAGAGGAGATCAGCTACCCAATACAACTGCTTATAAGTATGAAATTCAGGCATTGTACCAGTCACATTGATTTTTTACTGTAAGTTCTCTGTTCTATAGACTTTTACAGCAAACTGGATATATTAACCAGTAGAGCTTTCGATTCCAGGATGTTGTAAAACGATTGACGGAAATATGTCAAAAGTACTTACATATTTAGAAGAGTTGCGCTTTTTTCTGCAGGCAGAGTACCATTTAATTTATTGTTTCCAAGAAACCTGAGTACAAATCCAGAAATAAATGTTTCAATATGAGTACATTTTGGGAGACAAAGATTGTATGTGACAACAAAGCAGAGATGGTAGATTACAGGTGAGTCAGCGAACTCAAGTTGAAAAGCGAGCTGGGAATTTGTCCACTTATATTGTTGAAACTCAGATCCCTGAAGAAAACTTATTGAATTATCCAATTATAAGATCAAGAAGCTTGCTAACAATTTAACAATGGAGGGAAAGAAAAGGAATAAACTTACAAATGCTGCAGAGTGTGGAAGTCGCCGATATTGGATGGAATTGTATCAGAAATGTTGTTATTCCTTAGCTCTCTGAAGTACATGGAACGAACAATATTCAAGACTAATGAACCAAGATGAAGAGATCCAACAAATGATTTCTCTAAAGTGTTGCCTTACAAGGTACTTAAGGATTTCATATCCCTTATGAATGCCAAGGACAACGAGCTCCCATTGGACAAATCACTTATTCTCCTGCATTTTCAATTTTTATGAGATTTTCAGCATTGATTAGTGCAAAATTCAAACATGACAGGGGAACACTCACAACTCTGTCAGAGAAGTCAGATTGGAAAAGGATGATGGTATTGGCCCTTCAAAAGAGTTTCCTTGTAACCTCCTGCAATAATGTGTAGAACCAGAAAATTGTAAATTGATCTGTAAAACATTCAGAGTAGAATGCAGATTCAAGTGTAATGGAGAAGGAAATAAATGAAAAGAAAAAATAGTTGAGTTTTCTCACAAGACATTAAGCTTTGACCAATAAGTTCCTATAAAGTCTGGGATTTTTCCTGTAAGTTCAGTGTCTGAAGCCCACCTGAGAACAACAAAAGAACTTGTTTAAGATCTGATGCTTCTCGTTTTTTATTAACGGATTAATATAGTCGAAAAGTTCTTACACTGTAACCAGGCTTTGTAGATTGGCAAAGCTTGAAGGAATCTCACCACTCACTCCAGAACTGTCAATATATCTGTCAAGGTAAAGAATTTTCAATAATTCCATCACTATATAACAACTTTTCTCCAAATTTTGGATTGAAAACGAAAGTGTATAAGAACTTACAGTTGCTCTAATTTGGTTAAATTTCCAAGCTCAGGCGGCAGAGGACCGGAGAAATTGTTCGTTCCAATTCCACTACCAAAAGTAAAAGCATAAATGAATAACATCCCATAAGAATAATCAATTCAAAACAAGCAAAAAGAAGTAGTAAATTTTAACTTACAGTACAATTAGCTCACTAAGCAATCCAAGTTCTTTCGGAAGCTCCCCTGATAACGAATTAATGCCCAGATCCCTGACCATTTACAATAAGAACTAAGCATCAGTAAAAAGAAAGAATTAAAAATGGATTTACCATCTTTCATATCAGCTTAATTAAAACAAAATTTTCAGATCAGCCTACATGTATTGCATAGCAGTTAGATTGGCAATGGATGGAGACAGCGGACCTGTCAAGAAATTCAGTCCCAAGTTCCTGGTTTACACAAAACAGAAAATATTCATATAAAGAGTTTTGTAACAAAATTTCGAAAATTCCAATCAAGAATATATGAAATCAAACATACAGATTGGTAAGGGAAGCCAAAGTCCATAGCTCATCTGGGATCTCACCAGAAACGTCCAGTGAGTAAACTTTCCTGAAATTTAAGAAAATGTAAAAATAAGCGAACATGAATTTAAACAATGGTCGTAACTCGTAAGCAGTGTGTATTAAAGGAGGAAAGTTCGACGCTTACAATGCAGAAATGCGGCAAACAGAGTTGTTGTTGAAAGAACAGACACATTTAATAAAAGGATCGTAATCTGTGTTCTCGATGGTGATAGAGTCGTCGATGGCGGCTCCGCTGCATGGCTCTCCACTTATATTCCATTGCTGTTGATTTGCGGATATTCCCCATATTTCAAATATTGAATTCAATGCGCTAACTGTTATCCAAAACATATGTTAACGTCTCTCTGAGCAAACATATCGTTGTCTCCTTTTTGTCGGCTCTTATCTTTTGACTTTACATTGAGTATGAAATGTCGCAGTACAGTAATTTTGATACTTTTCAAAGGAAAAAAATGTAAAGTAGTTGGAATAGTTTTGTTTGTTTGACAAGAAAGACGGTTAAAAGGAAAGTGTGTCACTAGCAGATACTTACAATATTATGCATACAAACTTTATAATTTTATATAAACAGAATTTTTATTTTTAATTTGTATACAAATCCTGAGGAAATCCATTGTTTGAGCAGTTTTCAGGAGGAAAATTTAACCATATGGAACTTTACAAGAAAGAAAAAGGAAAAAAACTTAGTTAACGAAGTTTTAATTTCATTTCTATGGAAAAAGGTGATGTCCAGTGAAGATATATGGTAATATGTAGAAGTAGCTAGGAGAACAGATGTGCATGTTATTTGAAGTCCAAATGTTGATTGAAAAGCGATAGAGAATGAAACAAGTGAAGCTTACCTTCATTAGAATCTGTAGCAGCTTGAGTTTGGTTATTCTGAGCTTCACCTACATGAACAAGGCCGAAGAAGAAGCAAAATATACACAAAGCAACAGCTGAAACTGAAGTTGATGCTGATGGTTTCATCAACATGATCGATTATGATCGAATCAAATTCTATATGAACTAAAGCTTTAATTATTTCTTCAAGATTGATTTATTCAAACTTATAGAATGAAATATATGAAGCCTTGATAGCTGATCAGGAGGAGGGTAGCTGAGACAGAAAGATGACAGAATTAACAAGAGAGAGAGAGAGAGAGAGAGAGATGATAATTAATTTATATAAATATTTAACGCGGCTGAGTCTCTGACAAATAAAATCTCCAATAAATAATTATAAAAGTCGAAGAAGGCATAACATCATGCATCTGTCATCTCATGCTCATAAAAATTGAAGACTATTCCGGTAATGGCGACCCTCTCTTTATTTTATTTATACTGATTTCGTATGTGGAGGCTGAGTCTTCGTTCAGCCACCAACGATCTACCAAAGCGGCCACTGACTCACGTGCTGGCTGACTAGCTCTTGTCAATTTTGATTTTGATCTTGATCAATAGCCAAAACATAATTAATTATAAATTAAGGGGGCATTGCATTTGCATCATCACATGTATGTTGAAATTTTCAATTAATTAACCACCACATTATAATTAATTACGTCCACTAATGCTATCTTTCATCACATATTATTTTTCTTTTTTTCTTGTTACAAACTCTGTTTTAGTTTCAGAGAAGTAGAATCGGGAAGAAGAGTTACATTCACTTTCTTACTCCTTTACAACTATTTGTTTACTTAAATAATTAAACTAAACTCTATGGGTAATCATATTATGACATCATCTGGACTTCCTATTTATTATTTACAATCATCCAATATCCCACCTCAAGCTTGGTAAGGGTTGATGAAGATCAAGCATGCCAAGCTTTGCCATCAAAAAACGATGTTGTTGCTTACCAAGCCCCTTAGTCAACAAATCAGCAGGTTGCCCACTTGAGGAAATATGAGCAGTGCGAATCAGACTGCAAGCAATTTTCTCCTGAATCAGATAACAATCAATCTCCAGATGTTTAGTGCGTTCATGATACACCGAATTAGCTGCAATGTGAAGGGCAGCTTGGCTATCGCAATACAAAAGAGCTGGTGCTAGAAGTTTTATACCCAAATCGAGAAGAAGATGTTGTATCCAAGTAATTTCACAGCAGGTGGAAGCCATGGAACGATACTCAGCTTCACAAGATGATCTGGAAACAGTAGATTGTTTCTTGGTTTTCCAAGAGATTAAAGAGTCCCCAAATTTAATACAATAACCAGTTAAAGATCTTCTAGTCGTAGGACAAGCAGCCCAATCAGCATCGCAATAAGCATCGAGTGTATATTTCTTCTTGGAAGGAAAAAAAATACCAGCACCAGGACTTTGTTTGAGATACCTGAGCACTCTATAAGCAGCTTGCAGATGAGATTTCTTGGGACAATGCATATATTGACTTAAAAGTTGAACAGAATAAGAAAGATCTGGTCAAGTCATGCAAAGGTAGATAAGTTTACCTACCAATCTTTGATAAGAATAAGTATTCTCAAGAAGTGGATCTGTTGTAGTGGTACCAGCAGTCTTGTCAAGGTCATAAGAAGTTAACTTGAGATGTTGCTCATATGGTGTATCGGTAGGGCAAGACCCGATCTGACCATGTTTCCGAAAGAATGTCCAAAGCATATTTACGCTGGTTCATGACCAGACCATGCTTGGACCTACTGATTTCCATCCCAAGAAAATAACGTAATTGACCCAAATCCTTGATTTTGAACAGAGCATTGAGAAATTGCTTCACTGATTGAATTGCATAAAAGCTATTACCTGTAAGCAAAATATCATCAACATAAACCAACAAAATAACCATAGTATCTCCAGAGGTTTTGGTGAACAAGGAGTAATCATTTTTGGATTGGAGAAAACCATGCTCTAACAAGGCAGTAGTAAATTTATGATGCCATTGTTTGGACACCTGCTTCAACCCATATAAAGACTTTAACAATCAACAAACCTGATGTTTCTGTGTAGACTGATTAGCTAAGCCTGGAGGAATTTGCATATAGATTTCTTCATTTAAATCACCTTGAAGAAAAGCATTATATACATCCATTTGATAAAGTCCCCAATCATTCATGGTAGCTAAAGCTAAAATAATGCGAACAGTGGCCATTTTTCCACAGGAGAAAAACTTTCTGTGTAGTAAATGCCCTCCTGTTGAGTATATCATTTGGCTACTAAACGAGCCTTATATCTTTCTAAGCTGCCATTAGCTTTCAATTTGACTTTATAAACCCATTTACATCCAATTGCTTGCTTCCCAGGTGGTAAAGGAACTAATTCCCATGTGCCATTAGATTCTAAAGCTTGAATTGCCGTAGCCTGCCCCCAGTTTGGATCCTAAATGACTTCTTTGTATGTTGTGGGTTCAGAAAAAGTGGAAATAGCAGAAAGTAGACACTGATAGCTAGGAGAAAGATTTGTATAGGAAAGATAATTAGAGATGGGATGTTTTGTTTTGGAGGTAAGAATATAATCTTTCAGCCAAAAAGGAGGTTTAGTAATTCTAGTGGACTTACGTAACTCAGTTTGATTAGGCTGGGAAATAGAATGAAAAGAAGGCAAAGAATCAGTACCTAAAGATAAAGGAGAAACATTGGAAGGACCTCTTGTTGAGAAACCAGTGGAATTGTCTAAAATAGAGATTAGATACATAGCCTCCATAGGATTGTTACCACCAACATCATGTGAATCATTATAGAAACAGCCAGTATCAGGAAATAATTTCAAAGAATGAGAAATGAATGCAGGGTTAGCAAATGGAAAAATAGTTTCATGCAAGGTAACATCTCTACTAACAAAAATCCTTTTAGAAGACAGATCAAACACTTTATAACCCTTTTGGGATGGAGGATAGCCTAGGAAAATACATGGAATGGCTCTTGGAGAAAATTTGTCTAATTTTGGCAAAAGGTTTGCATAACATAAGCAACCAAATACTCGAAAGCGCGAAATATGTGGAGCTTTGTGGTTTAATATTTCAAAGGGTGATTTGTTGTGGAGAAGGGGAGTAGGAATTCTGTTAAGAATATATGTAGAAGCCAAGATACATTCTCCCCAAAAAATGGCAGGAACATGAGACTGCAATTTGAATGCTCTGGCTACATTAAGGATGTGTCTATGCTTTCTTTCTACAGGTCCATTTTGCTGAGGGGTATAAGGACAAGAACTTTCATGTTTGATGCCATGTAAGTTGAGAAAAGTTGTAAAATCAATGCTAAAAAATTCGGTACCATTATCTGTGTGAATTTGTTTGATGTTAACACCAAATTGGGTGCTAACCATGAAAACAAAATTTTTAAAGATATGGAATGCATCAGATTTTACAGTCATCAAATATGTCCATGTGGCACGAGAATAATCCAGCCATATGATGCCATATGATACGAGTAGGAAAAACTTGTCTGCATGTTTTAGCCAAAGGGCAAGTGTTAAAATGTGAATTGTTTTATTTAAAGATGAAAACAAACTAGAAGATTGTGGATGAATCAGGTAGTACAATCCATGGTGCTCTTTACCAATCACTATCGTCGATCCATTCCATAGGTCCTAAAATAGACAGAATTTTGTAAAAAAAAAATAACATGGACATTGTTATCTTTACAAAATTTAGAGATGGATAATAGGTTGTATTTAAACTGTGGTATGAAAAAGACCCTATGTAACACAATTTTTGGAGATAAACAAACATCACCAGTATGAGTAACAGAAGCAGATAAACCATTTGGCAATCTTACATTATGATGTATGGAAGAGGCATATGGTTGCACATTATTCAAGCAAGATAAATCACATGTCATATGTTCATTAGCCCCAATATCTAATATCCAAGCACTACTCAAGGCAAAAGCCATAAGAGAAACAGAAGTACCTGCTACATTTGTACAGGAATCAATACGTTGCACAACATTTGCAACAACATGAGAACCATCTTTGCCCAAGAGCTTCAAAATTTCCTCATATTGTGCAGGAGAGAAAATTGGATTACTAACAGTTGTAGAAGGCTGAGCAGTTTGAGGTGAAACCAAAGATTGCTCCTCTTCAGTAGAGACAATATTATTTGCTGTGACCGATTTATTGTTATTTTTCTTGTTTCTGTTCCTTTGACAATTGTCAAGATAGCCATGAAGCTTCCAACAAAAATCAATTGTATGGTTCTTCAAATGGCAAAAATCACACTGCATTGGTTTCTTCCTGGATTGTGAATCTCTGTTACCTGTATTAGATGGATGGGTAACAGGATTTTGGGTAAGAAAAGCCGCAGCATCAGACTGACTTGGTGTAGACTCAGTGATTCCCCTCTAGTTTTCTTCCTAAATCAACATCCCATATAACACATTCACTGAAGGCAAAGGATCCATTAAAAGAACAGAACTTTGAACAGCAGCATATCCTTCATTCAATCCCATTTAAAACTGCATGACCTTTTGAGTTTTCTCATGTTCTTTATAGATGGTAGAAGAAGCACAAGTGCATGTCGGAGTAGGTACAATAGATAGTAGGTACAATATATGAATATTCATCCCAAAGAACCTCAATTTCGCATGGTAAACAAAAATTGAAGCCAAACCGTGTTGCGTTGTAGCAATTTCTTGCATAATTGAGTAGATTCTTGAACCATTGATTTTATCAAAGGTTTCTTGAAGATCTTGCCAGACAGTCGCAGCATTAGTTCCATATATGACCCTAGCCAACAAATCTTTAGAAATATAATTCATGATCTAAGACATGACTGTAGCATTACAGCGGTCCCATTGTTGTGCCTAAAGAGGATCAGTAGGACGCTTAAGTGTCCCATCAATAAACCCTAACTTGTTCTTCGCAAGTAATGCCATCTTCATCGCACGACTCCACGTGCTATAATTGTCACTTTCAGTCAAGATTTGACTTACAATTTGAGTTCCTGGCGTGTCCGAAGGATGTATGTACAGTGGATTATTATAACTGGCAGCTATGGTTGCAGCAGAAAAAGATCCAGAGTTGTTAGACTCCATTGTTGAAACAATTGTAACTAGGAAAGAAGAATGGTAATTGATTGAGTGAAAGCAAAGAGATTCGAGCTGATTTATTCTCGATTTTGAAAAAAAAGGCGAAAATTCGGTGGTTTTAACCAAGATTCCACGCTCCGATACCATGTTACAAAATCNAAAAAAAAAAAAGGAATATGAAGTTCAATATTTGTTTTTATTCCCTATTTCTTCTCTCTCATTTTTTTTTTTAAAATTTTAAAAAAGTTTTAACTATCAATATTTCTATTATGTTGCTAATTAATCTCTCTTATGTTGACAATTAACTAACGGATTCCATTTTTATAAAAAATTTACAGGATGGAGGCAGTACTGGTGCAAGTAGCTGGGCAAGTAATTTGTGTGCTAATAGCAAAAGCAACCAAGTATTTAGAGCACAATTATGATTATGTGAAAAATATTAGCAAGAACATGGCCATCCTTGAAAGGGAAGAAAAATCTCTCTATGACATCCAAAAAATTTTAAAATCAAGATTGGATCATAAGAAAATCCAAGAAATTGAAAAGATCTACTCTTGCGAAATGTGGCTCAATAAGGTGGAAAAGATAAAAGATGCAATCGAGAAACTGAAGATCGAATATGAAACCCTAGTAAGTAATTACAAATTCTTCTTCGGAGTATATCCATCTCCGAGTTCAGTGAAACTTGGTAAAAGGCTTGTGAAAGTAACGGAGGAGGTAATTTTTCTGAAGAATCAACTCCACCAAATAGCTCTGATGGATGAGAAGTAGAAGGGACCAATTTCCGGCTCAAAGCGATATACCAAAAAATTATTTAATGGTTTCTTATGCGCTTGTTTTATTCCAAATGCCGATTTTTAACTGGTTAATTGATTTGACATTATTCTTTTATTTTTTGCATTACTTTCTTGAATATACGTAAACTATCATTATTATTTTTTCATGTAATGTATTTGTATTACACCATTTTGAGTAAAATAGATAAATACCCTAAAGCATGTATATTACAAAGTTTGCCTGGAATTCTTATTTGGAATCGAAATAAGCAATAAATAAATTTCTAGAAATGTCGAATTTGAAATGTTGTTAGTAAAAATTTATTCATTAATTTATTTGTTTCTACAAAACCTGTTCATTAGTTTGCTAATTATAGTTTATAAAATAATTAATTGATTTTGCCAACTGTTAATTAAAGCAAACAAACGAGCTACTTAATTTTATTTAATTATTTTTGTTTTAAATGCATAAGGAAAACGTATCCCATGGTAGCTTGAGCCTTGAAGTTACATGAAAAATTAATTAAAGTAAACCAATCGTTATGTGGTGGTTGCTGAAGGGTGATAGTGGCTTGGGTGAGTAGGGGTATTTTTGTTAATTTATAAACTTTGATTGTGAAAGGTAATTGTTAAATGTTTTGAGTTGAATAAAATATGATTAGATTTTTTGAATTGAATAATCAATATTAAAACAAACAAGTTTTTCACTGGATTGGATAAGATATTACTACCCAAATCCGATTTCGGCGATAAAAATTATCTCTGTCACCACCATTTGAACCTCCGATCTCCTCTCTACAAAATCCTTCTCACTCCGCCATCTAATTTTTCGTCGATTGCCAGCCATCACAAAGCTATGATTTCTTATTCTTAATTGATTTCTAGCTGATTCCGACTACAAAAATTTAATCGATCACCACCATTCGATCCACCGGCCTCCACTCTACAAAACCCCTATCACCCTAGCTTATAGTAACATGCTGAACGCCGATTGATAAAGTGAAGTGTATTTTTAGCATTAACAAAATATAAACTTTAGTTGGGAAAGTGGTATTTTGAAACTTTTTGAGTGCGAAAGTGTCATTAAGGCAAACCTTGGGTGGGAAAAAGTCATTTACTCATTAGGGTGGGTAAAGTTTTTAGGGGAAATATTTTTAGCCCCCATTACATTGATCAATATCCCCTGTTGCTAAATAAAATATATTTTATTTTAAAAGAAAAACTCTTTAAATCTCATTTAATTCAAAAAAATAACCTACTAATTAGGTTTTTTATTTGCATCCATTTTCCTCAATTTCAAACCTAATTACGATTTTCATTTACATCATTTTTCCCTGATTTCATACTTAATTAGGTTTTTCTTTATACATCTTTCTCCTAATTTGAAATTTGAAACATACGTTTTCTTTTTAGATTCAGATTAACCTCGTTGTATGATTATTCTCTTTATAGATTTTCATTGAACAAAGAAATATTTGAAATAACAAAAAATGTTTCAATTTAAAAAATTTAGAGTAAGGATTTATGTAAGAATTAAAGGTTAAAAATTTAAAATGTGTGTGTGTGTGTGTGTGTGTGTGTTATGAATAGATGTGCATGCCCTTTGCAATTCTATTACTTGCTAATCTTTCATCCTCTCTAACTCTTAAACCTTTCAAGTTCTACAACTTCAAAGCATTTTATTAGCTTTTAATTTCTTCTCTCTTCTTATAGCTTATTTTATTATACGTTATCAACATGAGTCTCTAACCATATCAACTTGTCAAAGAAAAAAATAATTCTCATCAAGTTTCAAGCTTTTGTCTCTTATCAAAATTGGAGTTGAAGTTTTCCATTTGCCAATTTTCGTCATGAAAAATCTTACAAAACTTGAATTTGTAGCTCTTGATATTACGGGTAAGAATTATTTGTCGTGGATTCTTGATGCTGAAATTCACTTAGGTGCTATGGGTCTTGGTGTCACCATCAAAGAAGGAAATGAATCATCCAATCAAGATAAGGCTAAAGCCATGTTTTTCCTTCGACATCATCTCCATGAAGGATTGAAAACTGAATATCTTACAGTAAAAGATCCACTTACTCTTTGGGAAAATTTGAAGGAAAGGTATGACCCCTAGAAAATTGTGATTCTTCCTAGAGTTCGTTATGATTGGATGAATTTCTGTTTAAAAGATTTTAAATCAGTAATTGAATATAACTCTGTAGTATTCAAAATTAGTTCTCAATTGAAATTGTGCGGAGAAAATATTACTGATGAAGATATGTTAGAGAAAACATTCTCTACTTTTCATGCATCAAATGTGCCCCTGCAGCAACAATATAGAGCAAAGGGTTTTCAAAAATATTCTGAACTAATTTCATGCCTTCTTGTGGCTGAACAAAATAATGAGCTATTAATGAAAAATCATGAAGTTCGCCCAACAAACAAAATAATGAGCTATTAAGGAAAAATCATGAAGTTCGCCCAATAGGTTCTACTCCATTCCCTGAAGTGAATGTGACAATATCTAATAATCATGGGCGTGGGGTACGTCATGGCCATGGTTGTGGTCGTGGTCGTGGCAATGGTTGTGGTCATGGCCGTGGACGTGGTCAAAGTCGTAATAATCACAACTGTGGTGGTTATAACTATAACTCTTCTAATTATAAAAGCCACCAGAAGTGGAATAATGATGAAGAGAAAAAGGAAAAGGGCAAAAGTGGACAACATAAAAATTCGAAGAATAGAGAAAATATGTGCTAACGATATGGCATGAAAGGACATTGGTCACGTAGTTGTCGTACGCCCAAACATCCTGTTGAACTTTATCAAGCATCATTGAAAGAAAAGGAGACAAATACGAAAGCAAATTTTGCCTACTAAAATGAAAATAGAGAAGCAAATTTTGCTTATCAAGATGATAATTTTGATCATGGACCTGTTAATATAACACATCTAGATGTTGCAAATTTCTTTGAAAATCCTAAAGGGAGAATTGATCATTTAATTAGGGATGGGAATGTCCAAAATTATTAAAGTTATGTTTTTGTGAGTGTTTTACTTTTAATTTATTTACGTTGAGTGTTTTACTTTTAATATGTTTAAGTTGAGTGTCTTTCTTTTAATGAGTGTTTTGCTTTAAATATGTTTAAGTGTGATTTTCAATTTTAGATAAATTACTTTGTTTTGTTGGCTTTGTAATATGCCTTACTATGTATTTTGTTTTTGAATAAAGAAAAATGGACATTCCCAAGTCTATGATTGGATCCAAGATTGATGATGAAGATCTTTGTCTCGCAGACAGTGCTACAACGCACACTATATTTAAAGAAAGAAAATATTTTTCTTCTTTGATAATGCGTGAAGCTAACATAAATACAATATATGGTTGTACAAGATTAATTGAAGGCTTTGGAAGAGCTAATATATTATTGCCTAGAGGAACACTGTTTATTATAAAAGATGCATTATTTTCTTCCAAGTCTAAAAGAAACTTATTAAGTTTTAAAGATATTCGATGTAATGGATATCATATTGAGACAACCAATGAAGAAAATATTGAATATCTTTATATTACAAGAATAATTGCAAGCAAGAAATGTGTGTTGGAAAAATTACCTGTTTTTTTGTCCGGATTATACTACACAAATATCAGTGTATTTGAAACACATGTTATAGTAAACTAGAAGTTTACTAATCCTAATACTTTTACTATTTGGCATGATCGGTCAGGCCATCCTGGTTCAATAATGATGCGAAGAATCATTGAGAATTCACATGGACATCCATTGAAAAATTAAAAGATTTTTCAATCTAATGAATTCTATTGTGCTGCTTGTTCTCAAGGTAAATTAATTATTAGACCATCACTAGCTAAAATTGGGATTGAATCACCTACATTTTTAATACGAATTCAAGGTGGTATATGTAGGCCTATTAATCCACCATGTGAACCATTTTATGGTCTTAGTAGATGCATCTACAAGATGGTCCCATGTGTGTTTATTATCTACTTGCAACCTGGCGTTTGCGAGACTACTTGCCCAAATAATTTGATTGCGAGCACAATTTCTAGATTATACAATTAAGACAATACATCTTGATAATGTTGGTGAATTTATGTCTCAGACTTTTAATAATTATAGTATGTCAATCAGAATAATGATAGAAAAGCCTGTTGCCTATGTTCATACACAAAATGGTCTAGCAGAGTCATATATTGAACGCCTCCAATTGATTGCTAGACCATTACTTATGAGAACAAAGCTCCCAAGTTCTGCTTGAGGACATGCTATTTTACATGCAGCAGCATTTGTACGCATTAGGCCAACAAGTTGGTGGGTGTCGAATCCAACAAATAATAAAATTCTCACTCTCAAATAAATACAAATTGTAATAGTGATGAGCAAGGTCATATCCACAAAGACTGGGTAGATTTATTTTAATGAAAATTAAAGCAAAGAAAAATGGGGTTTTGAAATTTTGAAGTGAAATAAAAAGAAAGCAATTATAATCAACTAAAAATTAAGTAGAAATCAATATCAAGCAAATATCCAACCAAAGATATAATTTCAGAATTGGTTCAGAGAATTGATCACAGTTACAAGGATAAAATCTTCTATTCTTCACTAAATTGGTTATGGTTATTAACAAGCTCTAACAACCTATCTCTCCTTACTTTCTCGATAACCAAAACAAGCTCTTTGATTACTTCCCTTGTCAATAAACAACCCTAAACAAGCTCTTAGGATTTAATCTATCGACAGCATTAATAATTAGAGAGACTACCAATTCTAGCCAACAAATACACAAGCTCGATTCATTTATACTAGATTATACATCTTCATAACATAAATCGAAAATCCCTTTATAATCAACTATGTTATTTCACCACTAATATTAGAATACTTAAACAATTACGGATTTAAAGTTCTAAATGGCAATTTATCAACCTGATAATTGAACAACGGACCTTTTGCATCAATCAATCAAGACAATAATTGTTAATAAACATAGAAGATATATAAATAGTAAAGAATTAAAATAATACTGAAAATTATTTAGATTTCACAATCCTTGAAGAACCAAAACTTCAATTATCCTTTAGTTGGAAGAAAAGTATTTAGCTACACATAATTAAAAGAAAGCCTAAAGAAAAGAGAAGAAAAAGAGGTAGAGATCGATGTCCCCTTTCTTGTGAATAATCTCCCTATTTATAACTCCATCTAATCATGGTTATCCTGTCTAGATCAGGAAACTAATTAAAAGCAAATCTCACCAAAATAGGGAGTTTTGGCAAATCCTAGAGATTAAGAAAGGGTAAATAAATCTTTCTAGCTGTCATACATATCTTTTTCTCCAACAAATTCGTAACTCTAAGTCAAAAATCTCGGATCCAATAAGGCGCGCCCACGATTTATCTGCTGACTGCTTTTATGAACATTCTGGGAAAACAGAACGTGCCCACGCTTTAAGCAAAATCCGCTTCTGGAATGTATCCCTTTTTGAGCTCCGATTTTTTCTCTCCAAAACTCTTGATTTTGAATTCAATTTGATTTAACTCCTCAATCTACTCCACAAAATACGAAACATAATCAAAACCCAAGATTTAGCATTTATAACCATTAAAACATGAGGAAATATAACAAATATATAGATATTATGAATGCTTATCACAAGTTAACGCATATTCTCCCCTTTACAATTGGCTTTTGGTCAAGAGCCAAATATTTCCCATTTAAGAATATTTGGATGTGCGGTTCCAATTGCTCCACCACAACGCACTAAAATGGGTCCCTAAAGAAGATTGGGAATATATGTTGGATATGAATCTCCTTCTATAATTAAATATTTAGAACCATTAACAGAAGATTTACTTATAGCACGACTTGCTGATTATCATTTTGATGAAACAAATTTCTCAGCATTAGGGGGAGAGAATAGGCAATTGGAAAAGGAAATTACTTGGAAAATGTCATCGTTATCTTATCTTGATCCTCATTCTAAACAATGTGAACAAGAAGTTCAAAAGATAGTTCATTTGCAAAATGTAGCAAGTCAGTTGCCAGATGCATTCACTGATTCAAAAAGAGTGACTAAATCTCACACACCAGCTACAAATGCTCCAATTCGGATTGATGTCCCTGAAGGACAATTACTAGTAGCAAATGAATCTAAGGCACGTTTAAAGTGTGGTAGATCAGTTGGTTCCAAAGATAAAAATCATTGAAAGAAAAGAGTAGCAAATGACCAAGATGTTTACATCAAGGAGGCAAGTTCTCATGAAGAGAATAGAGACATATTTAATCATGAAACTCCAGAAGAAGTTCAAGTACCTGAAACTAGCAAGAATGAAGAGATCACAATAAATTATGTCTCTACAAGAAAAATATGGAATAGAAAAGAAATAATTGTTGACAACAATTTTGCATACAATATAGCACTTGATATTGTAAATAATAATGAGGATCTTGAACCTAAATCTATGGAAGAATGTAGACAAAGAGAAGATTGGCCAAAATGGAAAGACGCAATCAAGGTAGAACTGAATTCATTAGAAAAACGTGGAGTTTTTGGACCTATAGTCCAAACGTCAAAAGATCTAATGTCAGCGGGGTACAAATGAGTATTTGTATAAAAACAAAATGAGAAAAAATGCAATCATAAGATATAAAGCATGACTTGTAGCAAAAGGATTTTCGCAAAGACTTGGCATTGATTATGAAGAAACATATTCTCCAATGATGGATGCAATAACATTTCGATTTCTTATTAGTCTGGCAACAAATAAAACCCTTGATATGCGTCTAATGGATGTAGTTATAGCCTATTTATATGGAACACTTGATAACGACACATACATGAAAATCCTTGAAGGATTTAAAATGCCTGAAGCATGCAACTCAAATTCTCGAGAATTTTATTCAATTAAATTGCATAAATCACTATATGAATTAAAGCAATCAGGTCGTATGTGGTATAACCGTCTTAGTAAATATTTGTTAAAGGACGGTTATAAAAATGACCCTATTTGCCCATGTGTTTTCATAAAAAGATCTAGATCTGAATTTGTTATAATTGTTGTATATGTTGATGACTTGAATATTATTGGAACTCCTGAAGAGATTCAAAAGGCAACAGATTATCTAAAAGTAGAATTTGAGATGAAAGACATTGGAAAAACAAAATGTTGTCTCAGTTTGCAAATTGAGTACTTAATTAGTGGAATTTTTGTGCACCAATCAGATTATACTGAGAAAATCTTAAAACGATTTTATATGGATAAAGCACATCCACTGAGTACCCCAATAGTTGTAAGATCACTTGATGTGAACAAAGATCCTTTTCAGCCAGCAGAAGATAAAGAAGAGGTACTTGGTCCTGAAGTACCATACCTAAGTGCAATAGGTGCATTAATGTATCTTGCTAACAATACGGGACAGGATATAACATTTTCAGTAAATTTGTTTGCAAGATATAGTTGTGCTCCGACACGAAGGCATTGGAATGAAATTAAGCATATATTTCGATATCTTGATATGGGTTTATTTTATTTAAATAAATCTACACCTCAATTAATTGGTTATGCAGATGCAGGATATTTATCTGACCAACATAAAGCTAGATCTCAAACAGGTTATTTGTTCACATATGGAGGTACGACTATTTCATGGTGTTCTACAAAACAAACTATAGCTGCTACTTCTTCAAACCATGTTGAGATAATAGTTATCCATGCAGCAAGCCGAGAATGTGTTTGGCTC